AGGTCGTTTCGAGCTGGCCGACGTGTATATAGGGTGTATCAAATGTCGCGCACTTTCTCTCGGCTTGGCGGACTGGCTAAAGACCGAACTAGAAGTAGAATGTCGCTTGCTTCAATGTCGGGGCATTAATATATGCGAGAACGTGACGCGACGAGGTGATACGTCGATTGACTCTAATAAAAATACGTTTCGAATACACAACCACTTGTGTGGAATTTCGACAGACACACTCGGTGCTTATAATAAGGATTCACTTGCGAACGATGGCGTCATTTTGAAAAAAAAAATTGAAAAGAGCAATATATTATGTAAACAAAAATCAGTCTACAAAAAAAGGAAATATCTTCTTTTATGCAATAAATAATTTTAATATCAATATTAATATTGCGTGCGCTTGAAATATATTTTGTAACTTGGGCGAACCTTTTTTCAATCATTTTGATTAGCTATAATTCCTTTTTTCAATGATTCTGACTGAGCTATAATTCCTCAATTATTTCGCGTAAATTTTAATTTTGTAAAGAAGTTTACATCTTACTTATTAAAAAATTTTATATTAAACATTGAAACCTTTGCGATTGGTGCTTTGCAAAACTTTCCAACCGATTGATTTGTCAAAGAATTTATGATTAAGAAAATAAGCTTCTATTTTAATGGGAAAATAAAAATTTTTTAAAATCGAAATATATGTATTGTGTGATACATTCACAAGATGATAATCGCGATTTAATATCTCGGTTGCCGTCGGCGACGACTCGACGACGGCGGTATCGACCTCCTCGGGCAATGATTCGATAAGATGGAACACTTTGGTGTAGTAACATCGCTCGTTATAACGTTCAGAATTTGCCGCGCGCGAACTAATATCGGCGAAACCATCACCCAAGTCTCAAGTTTACTGCGTACACGATTGCGATCACGAGATTCGAGAAGTGCGTACTGACGTGTCGCGAAGAAGCATAATCGCACTTTCGGTATTTGCGACAAAACATGTACTACATAGACTAATTAAGCGTCTTAAACTTGTACACGATCAAATAGAATTTTCGTTAAAATTCTATTAAAGTTAACTAAAGTTTTTGTTTTTAATCGCACTCTCTTCGTTTTGAAATCCTCTTTCAGAGTGTTTACTCAAATCTTATAAAAAAAATTCCCTAATCTTCCAGATATTTTTGTTCAAAATTTCAGGTAAAGATAATACTTTGAAGATCTTTTTTTGGTGCAATTTAAAAATAAATTTGTTATTGCTTACGTTTTCTGATACTTTTCATTCCAACGAAAGAAAAAGAGTCTCTTAAGTTTCAAGTGCTAGATTTGTAAATATACTGAAAAAAAACATTGAATAATTTTCGTAAGATGAACATTTTTCACTTGCATAACATTTTCATTTTTTTATCACTAAAAGCTAGAATAAAGAATATGTATTGCATATTTAATTTTTATTTATTCTGTTAAGACATTGAATATGTATCAGAAAAACAGAGAATGTAACAAAGATAGAGATATATATTTATAATATATTTTAAACACATAATTCACAAAACAATATAAGAGCAAAATTATTAAAGACAGAATTTTTAAAACAATTCCCCGAGACCTAATAAAATTCCATTAAAATGAAATAAAACCTGATTTTTCCAAGCACAAAGGAAAGGCTTTCCATGTTTTTCCAGGAAGTAGACATCCTGTTTCACATTAATCGAATAATGAACATTTATTCATTAGAGAGCTTCATTTTATACTCAAAGCATATTAAAAAAAGATACAACTAAACATACTTGAAGAATATATTGAAACCTTTCTATTCGCGAAACGCAAAAAGCGCCAAAAACAAATTATTAAAAAAAAAAAAATTCTCGAAACAAGAGAATAAAGCATGTGTATATCCCATATTAAAATTTCCGATAATTTGTTTATATCTCGATTATTCTCCGACCACGATCGGTTCTGACTCGTGCCACTTTCACTTTCAATCCATCGAGTAATGAACTACAGGTCGAAATAACGAATGATTGATAACTCCGTGGACTGCATAACGATAACGAACGATTCGCAAGGAACAATGCAATCGAACCAATGTCGCGAAAGCCGATGTGAACGAGCCGTATGGTAGCGTATATACTTGGCAGAGAACGCCAGCGTTTAAATTAGCAGCAGCGTGCAAGAAAATCATAAAGCCATCGGCGGCTCGTCTGTGCTATAAGTTATAAAAGATCGGTCGAAAAGAGAGCGATGAGAGATTGCGACAAGCACTGGTACGAAACCTTACGCAATTCACATTCTTGAAAATTAAAATTGAAATCGAAGACTGGACTAAGAAAAAGAGAAATTAATCACGGATTTCGCTGGATTTTACAACCCAAACGGAATTTTCAAAGGTTAAAGTTAAGAATTGAAATATTCATGGAAACGATTAAAATAATTTTAAAAAACACGCCATTTAAAAAAATCACGTTCTTAAAAATTCTGGTTGTATAGTTTGACGAGCAAAATTCAACTTTGTTTTATAGATATCTAATCAAACTGCGCGTTTTTATTTCTCGAAGGGCGACTCTTTGGAATCGTCACACTCTTTTAATTATCACTTTCATATTTTCACTCGCGTTGTTTAATAAATATTCTAATCGAGAATGCATGTTGCACAAATCAGTATCGAAGGATCGCACTCTGTAGGATTTCACCGACGACGAGTCTCACAGATTGTAAAATTCAATATTTTAAACACCTTGAACGTGGCAAATATCAAAATCCGATATCAGATATAAAACAACTATATGGACACACGAGTAATTTTTATCTTTTTATAAAGAAGAAAAAAATATTTAATTTTATATTACAATATTAAATTTATATCTCGCACACCTTCGACACTATCGGTGCAATCACGTATAAATTTTAAGATCCATATCTTTCCAGAACGAATTTGATCTGCACAAACACATTTTATTTGTCACTCGCAATTGGACGATGTTACGTAAAAATGAGAATTACCCCCAAATGAAAAAAAAAAAAAAAAAAAAAAAAAAAAATCTCAAACGTACGATTTCACATATTACTCAATCATCATTATAACTCATCTTTCTTTTCAAACTCGTAAATTAATTTTTGGCACATCTTTTTCTATAAAGAACACTGTTCCATCATATGTATAATCACGATATTAGGTAATGATACAGATTCCTCCCGGAAAGATACAGGTAAATCTTCACCGTCGGCTTCAGCGACGAGACGTCGCGTCGCTTCCGGTGCGTTAATTTCCGCGAATCCAGGAGAGAGAGAGAGAGAAGCGAGTCGGAGCTATCGCGTTTCGTTGAAAGAGAGAAAGAGCTCCTGTTTCTTTTTTTTCCTCTTTTTAAAAATGAATATTTGCCCCCGGAGGGATACAGCGGGAGGAAATGAACGCACAATACCGCTCTTTTAGTCGAAAGATCACCGAGCGACTCGCCTCCCCTTCCTGTTCCCGCCGACGAGAGTCGGAGCACAATAAAACGCATGATATATACGTACGCGGAGCGAATCCGACGGGCCCGCTGTCTTCAAGTTCACACACGGAGCGGCGCCGAGAGAGATATATCCCCTATTAATAGGTCCGTTATTTTCGGGATCTCTCGAAACGCCGGCTATGTACTTGGGCGCTTGGCACTGCTGGACTCTTGGAGCACAAATATGAGCGAGGAGACGTCGAAAGCTCGATCACACGCAGGAATATATCACTGTGAAGATCGAGGGAGAGCGGTGACGAGACGATGGCGAGTCCGTCGACGGCGAGGAGACACGTAGTAGATGATGGCAGACGGGCGACGGGCACGCAGCGACGAGGGTTCGAGGAGCGAGAGAGATCCGAGAACGCGGGAACGAAACCGGGCACCAGGCTTCATGCACGTGTGTAAAAAAGAAAGAAAGAAAAAGAAAAAAAGGAAAACGGGCGTGATGGTGGAGCACTCGGTCGGTAATCGCGCATCCTAGTAAACACACGGACGGGGACGATGCCAACGCGAAACGACGGCGAGAGATATTGCCGCGGGCGAAACAAACAGCACATACGATATGAATCGGCGATACGATGATGAACACGCGAACGGACAAACGTTCGGTCGTGACAAACGCGATCGCGTACTGCGACGCGGCGCGACGCGACGCGATGCGACGCGACGCAGCGCATAGCGTTGTCGCCGCGTGCGTTCTCTCCGAAAGATCGCGACGACGAGGTTAGAAGAAAACCCGTATTCTCACTGTATTCACTGCGTACACTGTGTACCCGTAGTATACCAACGTTTCGTATTTTCGAACGCAGGTGCAAGAGTTTCACGTTATCGTCCTCATCATCATTATCATCGTCATCGTCGATTTCTTCCTCTTTTTTTTCTCCTTTCGTTCCTCTTAATCCTTATTCCGCTTTATCCTGAACGGAAAATAAAAGTAGGATAAATAGGAAGAGAGAGAGAGAGAGAGAGAGAAAGAGAAAGAAAGAAAGAGAGAGAGAGAGAAGCAACTGGGCGGAGGAAAAGGGAGAATGAGAGAAGGAGAGAGAGAGAGAGAGCGAATGTATTCGTGGCGGGTAGTTGATGTCGCTATGTGTGGGTGCGTATGGATGTGCGTGAGAAAGAAAATGAGAGATTACGCACACTCGCGTGATTACTTAAAAGAGAGGGAACGAGAACCGGAGGAGCGAGCGGGAGAGAGAGATATAGGCGAGAATAAAAGAGAGATAGAGAGAGAGGGAGGGAGATGGAAAGAAAAGCAACGGATAAACGTGCGAGAGAGAGAGAGAGAGAGAAAGACGGATAAACGCAAGGACAAAGAGAGAAGCCCTTTTTCTTTCTTAGGTCTCTCTCTTTCTCTCTCTCCGTGCTTAATTTCGTCGTGGACGAGACGTTACGTGACGCGAAGCGATCACGAGAGAATGTTACCGACGGCGACGATGACTGTGACGATGACAAGGACGACGGCGATGAATATCCCTCGTCGTTCGCGCACATTAATCTTCCCGAGAGGCTTACCCGCGGCGAACTTATTCCCTCGGTATATCGTATTCCCTAGCGATGTGACATTCGCCGATAGTTGCACCGGCGTTAGCGAGCAACAACCACCACGACGACGACGACGACGACGACGGCGGCGGCGGCGGCGGCGGCTGCTGCTGCTGCTGCTGCTGCGACGGCGGTGGTGGCGGCGGCGGCGGCGGCGACGACGGCGGCGACAGCGACAACGGGCCACCGCGATTAAAAAACACTCGCGTTCTCGCGCACTCGCGACCCGACGACGACACGGTGTCTCGCTGCTGCGGCACGAAAATCGGCGCGGCCGGTCCACACGGTGTTTTCAGGGCCGCCAGGTTAACGTCACGAAATCCACCGCACACAACCATAGATCCAAACGGCGGACGGACGGACGTAAGGACGGACGGCAGGCTGGCAGGCAGGCAAGGCGGAATTACGGGTGAGGCGGCGGGCGGGGCGCGGGGGGGCAAAGGGAAGGGAGGAGAGAGGAGGGAGAGCGTTCGAGGCGGGCAGCGGGGTGAGGGTAACGGGCCGCCGGGCGAGAGCGGACGAGGGGTCGCGCGCGATGTGGATCGGAGTGGGAGGGAGGGAGAGAGAGAGAGAGTGGAGTGGGACAGAGTCCCGAGAACGAACGACCGACCGAACGAGCGACGTAGCAGCTTCGCGCGCGCGATCATGGACTAGGTGGGGGGAGACTGCGCTAGCTCAGGATCGACTCTCGCGACGGAGGGGCCCTCTTTCGTCCTCGTCTCTGCACCTGATTTTCGCCGAGAAAATTTATTTTCGAATCTACCTCTTGAATCGATCGATGACGATGTCTTTCAAGATTCGTCACGATCGAATCGCTATCGCGAATTTTCATAGATCGTAAGATTTATCATAGGATCGTTCTCTTTGGTATCGGCAGACACGAGTAAAGCGCTCTCTCCGCTATATCGTGAAAGATCCCCCGACTTAAAGCGGATAGATCGAAATGCGTGAGCGGACAAGAACGAATGTCTTGCCGTCTGGCGTTAAATTCTCTGTTATGTTATTCGAGTGTTTAAGGATTGATGACGAAGAAAAGTACGATCCTAGAGCGATGTTTTCTTCAAACCGTATAGAATCTCGTACCATTTGTCGAAATTCCGTCGAAACGCACGCTCGCACGTCCTTTGGACTTGTACTTTCACTCGGGCCTTCCATTTTCTGTTATTTTCGGTCCGCCGAACGCGCTCGTTCCTCTCGCACGTAATAAAACGCGCACAAAGGGGCCGCCTCTCTCATCCATCTCGCATCTTGATTTCCACGCCGCGCCGAGGAAGAAAGAGATTCGAGAGATTCGTCCGTTTTGTAATTTTCAAGCGTCTCGGGTGTGCAACGCTTTTCAAAAGGAGAATCGTTCGTTTGCAGGTATATCGCGAATTTTATCGAGATATATCCTCGTCTCGCTCGCCGGACGCGTCTAACAATCAACGTGAAACAGACAATCCGTGCGAATAATGCGCCGAGGAAGCGACGCGTTCGATACAAACGAGACACTCCGCTCCGTCTGCGCTGTTTCTCTTTCATAAACGTGTCAATTCAATTGCGTCTGCTTCTTGACGAATTTAAAACGGCACGATAATAAAGTTTCACAATATATGTACGTCTTTCTACAAGACTTATATAAACATACTTTGTAACCTGGCCGATTTTAACAAATCATTGAGATGACTCATTTTTACTTATATATACTACTACTACTATATATAAATTCCAGACGGATTAAAAAATATCTGTCAATTTAGACAATTATTATATATATGCGCCATATAATTTATTTCGACATTATTTTTAGATCTAAGATATTCATTTTAGAGATCGAAGACACGCTTGAATTTTGACGAGGGTTACATATTCAGACGTAAATCAAATACAATCCGCGATATTCCGATGAGGGATTACATTGATAGGCAAAGCTCTCGTAATTTCCCGTCGATCGACGGGGTTTTGGCGTGACGTCGGGCATGCAAAATGGCCGCGTACGGCACTGCGTCGAGAGCACAAGCGAACAAGCAGGCCGGCCACCTAGCGGGGGAGAGAGGAAGGGGAAGGAGAGAAGCTCCAGCGGTGGGGATAGACTCGTAGAGGGAGCGAGGGAGGGGGGGAGAGAGGTGTACTGTTGATCCCGGCCGCGCGGAGAGAAGAAAGTTGGAGCGAGATCGAACGAGCGCACGGAAGCGAGACGGTACGACACGCCGGGCTTCGCGGCAACGCCGTCGAGCGCGCGGCAACGTTGGCCAGGAGGGCCCTCACGGACGCCAGGCAATCCACCAACACTCACGAGTGTACGGAGAACGGCGGATCAGAGAAGGAAAGAATCCCGTTTTGCCGCGCTGGAGAAGATGGAAGAGACGGGGAGAGAGCGAGCGAGCGAGCGAGCGCGCGTTGGCGAGAGAAAGAGTGATATGAATAAGCGAGGGGAAGGCGGGGCAGAGAGGACGAACGTGTGGAGCGAACGAAAGAGAAGGTTAGGTTATAGAAAACGGAGGGAGAGAGAGAGAGAGAGATAGCAGGCTACGAAGTTTTCCGCCCGATCTCTCGAGATTTCAGAAAAGCGTTTGGTGCATTCGAAATGCACACATTTATATATGCGTCGATCGCGTGGTTTTATTCGTCCGACGCACTTTCCTACGCACCCTGGGACACACGGATTTCTGTCGCCGTCTTCGTGGCTATCGCGACGAAACAGCTTCGTCTCGGGATTACGATAATTTCCTCCACGTCGCGAGACGAGCTGCTATTGAATCGTACGAGAGACGTTTCCGCTTCTGCGAATCGCGTAAATTACTTTTGCGCGTCGAATCGTCCTCTCGTTTGCGGCAAAGACCGAAAAGAAACTTGTTAGAAATCGATAGAAATTTCAGGGAATATAGAATATTTGCATTATATACGCTTGTTGACGAAAATTAGATCTCTGTTTTCCGATGCTCTCTATTTCACATCGTCAATGAACGAAAATTCAGTTCGCGATCGTATCGCCAACATCTTGGAATTCGAACACTTTCGTCTAACTTATAGCAGTCTGAGAGTCCCGACAAATCCCGGTCATTAATACGCAATGAGCGCGACGTCGTATACGTCGCGAGTACGTATCGCGAGTTCTACAGCCTTTTTACGACCCCGCGCGATCGGACAATGAATAAGTTAAACAAAACAAGTTAGTAGGTCAGACGCCCCGCGCACTCATGTCGACCGCGTCCGAAAGTTTCGCGCGATAGAGCGGATAAACACGCGGCTCGTTTGAGCGAGCAAAGATGGAGTCGGTCGATCTCGATAACGCGCGAGAAAAATTCAGATTGGCCATGCCATGAGAGAGAAAGAGAGAAAGAGAGAGAGAGAGAGAGAGAGATTCCGATTTCCCCGGAGGAATCTGCGTAAGGAGATTGATTCATTTCTTTGCGCGCGTTCTCACACGGAACTTGATAAGCGAACGTGATAAGAGCGTATACGTGTTAATGCGTCATGTGTACAAATGTTTCATTTATTGCGTGCGAAATTGAAGCATACATGTATATATTATTTATATATATATATATATATATGTGCGCATAGTATGTACTTTGGAGGCAGTGGAATTGGCGCAGCTTTCGTTTGTATATAAACACGCGATTCCGTTACTTCCTATAGATATTTGGAAAGGGAATTTTGAACTCGCGCCGTTTTATCGATTAAACGCCGACGTGTACTTTAATGTCGGCGCACATTGCACAGCGCGAATGCTTCAATGTCACGCACGGGGAATTATTCTCGTAACTGTGCAACTTTTGCGAAAAGGGCTTCAGACACTTCGAAACTGGGGGACATTCTTTTTGAAAAATTACGCAGAGAAAAAAGGGAGCGAGGATATTCCCGCATACATCTTTGAACGTTTTTGGCATTATTTTTTTTTAATGTCATCGCTTTTAATGCTTTTATCGCGTACATTTACGTGTGTTTTACATTTTGAAATAATTTAAAAAGAAATAGACTAGTATAATAAGTAAATAAATTGCGATTATCTCTATTATTTATACAATAAGCTAGAAATTTCGTTATAACTTTACAATATTTTGTTGAAATTAAGCGAAACAAATTGGCAACAAATAAATTTACCAGGTATATAATTCAATTGATGCTGTGTGCATAATACTATAATAATATATTCTCTCTCTCTCTCTTTTGTTTTATATATATGTCTAAAATTTTATAATGAATAATATATAATAGAATATATTATACAATATAATATATTAGTATTGTACAATTTTCCCCCTGGAAAACATAAACTTTGTAATGATCGAATAATTCGTAGCTGAAAAGAAACGAGAGAAACTATACAGACATATAGTATTGTGCGTACATCTCGGCACAAATATCGCAGCCAGACATTTCTTGCACACATGTTTCCCACACATACACACACACACATACATACATACATACGTAATGTTTTATTTCGAAACGTTGCGTCGTTCGCGTAAAACACTCTGTCGCCCGAAGAATCGTAGGAAGTGACTTTCCCAGACGCGGACACAATGCGGTAACGATTGCGGCAAAGTGAGAGCGACGTTCCACCGACGTTATATATCGTTCGATCTGAGACGATCTGAAAACTTTACTCTATCGCGAACAAACGAGCGTACACTTTTTCGCCGTACACTCGTAACGTTACGTATAACGAAACAGACAAAGAGCGAGACGACGAAATACTGTTGGACAGATTACATCTTCCCCGCGCGGTAATTCGCGGAGGTAACATATTGGGCCGAGGATGTGTTTGTTTGCGATTCTCTCTCGATGTATGCATCCGGTGACTCGTCTCGATCTCGCTCATTCCGAGAGACTCGCGCCACTTTAAATACTCACACCGGCGCACGAGAATGGATCAAGGACGTGGATTTTGCGCTACTCTTGCGCGCGGATGCAGCATCATTCCCGGCTTTGTAACCAACGAGATGTCTTAACGACCGTCAAACTCGGGGCTTCTTGAAGGACAAGACAAAGTTGAGAGGAGAGGGCCGCGCCCTAAACGCTCGTTTATCTGGACGCCTACTGCGTCTCGAGTCTGGCAAGAATATTAAGTCCCTATACGTTTTGTACATTCAATATTGTTTACACGCGGTCGAGAGAATTCTTTGACGTGGCTGGCATAGACGCATCCGGTATCTCGTTATTAACATCCTCGATTTGTGAGGGAATCCGCATCGTACACGTATTAGAGCGCCAAGAATTTTTAAAACGTGACCGGATCTGTGCGCGATGGCGTAAAATGCGGGTATTTTAAAACGCATCTCAAGTTTTAGCCGAACGTTTATCTTGAAACGCGCGGTGAACGAATACGGGCTCCAGAGTCAGACCGTAAAAGAGCCTCGTACCGTTCTTCGCCCGACTCGGTTCAGCCTGGCTCACTTTGGATCGGCTCGCGCGAGTCGAGGTACGGCGGCGTTCCCGAACCTCTAGTCGAATGGAAGATCGATGGGTCGCCTTTCCTAGTATCAAGAAGCAATAGCGGAGAAGAGGAACTATAAAACAATAGCACTGATTACTGGATGGCGCAAGGGTGTGGCAGCGCCATTGAGTCGTTACACGCAGGAATGGAGAGCCAGTAGGGGGATAATGCGAGAGAGAAAGAGAGGAAGAGTGAGAGAGAGAGAGAGAGAATGCGCGTCTGTGTACGATGTGTGTTTGTGTGCGCGCATGGGCGTGCGAGCGAGCGCGAGCGAGAAGGAAGGGCGGTGGGAAGGAGAGGGAGAGAGTAAGAGAGAGAGGGAGAAGACGGGCAGGAGACAGAGACGGTCGGAGACTGGTAGAAGTGGTGGCACGGCGGGGAGGTACGACGCGCGGACGGGGACAAGGATGAACCACCTTAAAGGGGATAGCGTGGATCATAAATAATCAATATTATACCTGCGACCGATATAGAAAAATTTCAGGATTGTATTCAACCGCGTCGTCGAATCCGGCGAAAAATTGGGCCTACATCTTTGACGATCTCGTCGATTCGGCGACCGAAATTCTACGCGTACGCGTACAATTTGACGTGCAAAAAAAGCATTTTCTGCGGAAGGAGTATACGATTCCGGCGATTGATCTATTTTTTATGGACGTAAAACGCGCGCAAGTCTAGTGCAGGCGGTAAACCGACGGATTTAATAACCGCAATTCGCAATTTATACGATTCGAAATTGCATACGCAGTTTGCGATAGCGATATCTCCATCCCGGGAGAGAGAGAGAGAGAGAAAGAACGGATACAACACCTGCTATTTTTATTAAATTGCTGTATGCAGACGCATGTAACCTAATAACAACAAGCTACGATCATAGATTTAAAAATAGGAGGTCAATGAAAAAACGATTTGTAATCACTCATTTTTTTTATATATAATTGTAATTCGAATTTACGATTAATACCGAACGATGCAAGTTTTTTTTCGATTATTCACGAAATTTAAATATTTTAGAAATTATATAAAGAGAATTTAAATTTAAATGTTTTCGAGATTAAATATTTTTGAAATCTCGTAAAAGTTTTTATAACAAAGGAGAGAAGAACGAAAGAGCAAACATATGAAAAGTGTTCTTTTTTTTTTATAGCTTGTATTATTGTTGTCAGAGGAGAATATTCAACACTGCTGTTATTTCTAAGATAATACATTTTTTCTAAATAATGTTTTTGAGATTTCTTCGAAACGCTCGATCTCTCAATTATTACTACGTTCGCAGTTTGACACGTGCGCAATTCTATTTGGAATCGTGGATCTCGCGTCTAAAATGCTGCCGTGCGAAAATTTTCATGGTCGATCACGTAGAATAATAAAGCGCGAAAAATAAAGTCGATAAAATGTTGTGATAAACAACGGACGCTCCTCGCATTACGCGCCGCGACGAATAACATTTACATATTGAAAATATCAAAGTGCGTGAAACGCGCTCGTTTCATTTTCTTCTGTTGTTAGAAGTAGGAGGCAATGTATCATAAACTCGTGCTCGCACGACGAATGCGTTTTATGTGTCGCCCAGTCTACTAGCAATATAGCGTTTCCCGTTAGCGATGTAACGTTTCCCGTTCGGAATATTACTTTCCGCATTTACGATCGCGCATTAGACGAGGAGATACGCATCGACAAGATGCCTTGAGAAAAATGGAGCATTTTTTATTGAATAAATAAAATATGTAAAAGAGAATACAACAATCGGATGGGAGATATGCATCTATTAATATTGCCGTTGCATAACTTTTGCGTATAGTTTCTAACGTCACGTGACGAGAAACGCAATAATCGTTTACAAAAAGAATAATTCATTCCCGGACCGAAAGAAGAATACGCATCACGGTATGATTCATTTAAAGGTCAATTTTGGCCTTTTGGAACAATTTTCGAATCAATGACACCAGTCGGCAATTTCGCAAATTCCGTCGTTAAAAGTGCAAGGACCGTGCGATGCGAAAGTGACACGAGCTGGCGGTCGTTTCCATTATTCGCGAAATCGATCCTCGACGTCGTCGTCATTGGCGTCGAGATACCGCTAGAAAATACGACGACGATCTTTTTTACGGCGATGGTGCTTATCAAGGCGTGACTTGTGCGCGGACGCGCGTGCTATACCTGCATGCGTCGAGCGATTCTTTTCTTATTTAGCTGTGCTGTGCGAAGAAAGATTGCGGCGGCGTGAGCGAGTATGCATGAGAAACCGATAATTTTTTTCGAAATATTTGCAACGATCGGAGAATTGTCGACGAGAAAATTTTTGGGTTATCCTAGACGAGAGACGAATTTTTCAACGTCGTTTTCTCACTCGGATAATGGATAGGAAACAGATTTAATATGTGTATCGATTTTTTTTTTGTATTTATGTACTAGGAAATAAAAGTAGAGACAGTTTTTGAAAAATGATGCAATAGATTTGCATCTGCAATCGAATAACTTTTGGAATAAAAATGTTTGTCACGATATATAAACTTTCTCTCTCTTCCATAAATTTAAATTGCTCGATTCCTGCGAGAAATTATTTATCGGCAATTTTTATTAAATCATATTGGCAGTTGCTTTAATCAATCAATTTAATCAATCAGTTTTAATCGAATCATAAAACGCATATCACGTGGAAAATTTTAAAGTTATACGATGCAGAGATCTCTGACTGATATATTCTTTTTGGAAGGCTATTTTGGGTAATAATTTTAGCACTTTATAGTTTTCGAGAAAGAGATGAAAAGAATATAATATAATTAATGTCGAATAAAATTTTCTATAATATGGAAAAAAATATTACAGATAGAAAACAGCAAAAAATTAGAATGTGTGTGCTTAAATCCCATAAAAAAATTTCTTTTGTATCGATTTCTTTGATGAATCTCCTTTATTCGATTTCGATGCCATCGTGCTGCTGTCCTCGATATATCTTCGTCATTTAATGAACGGCCATTGCATCTGGCGACAGTTAAACATCATTCGTCGCATATGTGCGTTACGAACATTAGCAGCTGAATAGTTAGTTCCATTAGTTAGTTGCGTCATTTCCACAAGAGCATTGGCATCGTCATCGTTAAAGGTAGCTGCTGCGAGTTCGCGGAAATCCATTTTCGGAGCCATCTGCCAGAAATTGTCGCACTCAAACTTTGATTGTTACTTCGCGTGCACAGAATCTCCTTTCATCATCGTAACCACATCCGCATACGAAATTCAATGATTTGCGTTATAATCGGTATCGAACATACTCCGAGTCGACGATTCAGAAAAGACTAAAAATGCATTTCGGAAAGAAAATTAAGGCTAAATATATAAGCATATCTTTTTCTCATACTGAATACTAACAAAAACTTTATTTAACATTCACGAGGTATGCAGCTTTCATTATGCATTTGCAAAGTATACACCGCAAAAATGTGGAAAAATATGTAAATAAGAATTTTTTGATGAAAATTTCACACAACGTTAGAATTTTAATAAATTTCATTCTCGGTGTAATAATTACAAAAGTTGCGATTTCATTATCACGAGTAAGCATAGGAATTATTTTTACATTTGTGTAAAATATTTTTACATAAATAAAGAGGTTTTGAACTCTTCAAAAAAATAAAATTCTTGGAAAAGTCGTGATCTAAGCAGGTTTCTAAGTATCGTGCAGCGCAAACTTGACATTCTGGTTTTTAAGCAGAAAAGACTCTAACCATCGATAAGATCGCATGATCCGAAGCTTGACCGGAGAGGTTTGTCTCCGGCACAACATGCATTTGCAATGCGCGTGTTTTCGCTTCAACTAAGATCAGATAGAATAGAAATTTATATAAAGATATATAAAACGCGGACTCTCGCCGTTGTTGCTGCCCTCTTGTGAGTTAAGTTGTTAAGAATCGTACTCTCCCATTTTCACTAGACTGCATTGACGATTATTGGAGGATTTTGTTGGCGCCAACGAGATAGCCAATGATTTTGCGTTTTTTTTTTAAGCGTATAAATAAGTCTTAAGACTCTTATATCCTCATTGCAGCTATATTGCGCTTTATATATGTATATACACGTGATTGATAAAAAAAAAAACAGAAAAAAATATTATATATAATTTTTGGCAGAGCAACAAAAAAAAAAACAGGTTTTACTTTATTAATATTAACTTCAATGAGATATATCTTATTCATACGTTTGTAGGTAATTATACCTCCCCCTTTTCGGACTTTAAATATTTTATATATATTTATTTATATTTTACAAAAAAGTTTTTTTAATATCTCTTATATTACTATACTAAATATCTTCTTTGAAAAATTAAAAATTACGTTTTTTCTTTTTATGAGAATATATTTATCGTTTTATCGATTTTGATTGGTTTACTAGAATCTGATAAACCAAACATTCGGCTTAAAACATTTATGGCAGCTACATTCTTGGCTTCCTGAATCGTTTGACCAAATCCTAAAAAAAAAATATATATATATAATATATAAAAGGAATAGATAAATATTGAATGTATAAATTAAATGAAATGTATTAAATAAAATAACGCGATCCATTATCACTTACCTGAACCTAAAAACTCTTTATTAGAATACATTGCTACATGATATGCGACTAAAAGCGTATTTTGTCCCGCTTGCCCGATAAGCCTCGGTTTGGCGAGCGATCTTTTTTGTTTCCGTAGGACTTCGTTTAAAATTTCGAGTGGTTCAGCTGGATTCCAGATTTCTGTTAAATCTTTCTCAACTAGTATTACAATTAGAAAATCCTTAACAAAATTTGTCGCATGATTCGCATCTACACTTTCTGCGAGTGCCGCAACAAGTGCAAGAAACGTGTCAGCTAAAGTTTTCTCTGCTACTGGATGTTCCTAAAATATCAATTGAGAAATGATAAATTAAAAATGATTTATTTTTTACTTGTTACACAGATTTATCAAATACATAATTTTTGTTAACAGACATATCAAGCATTGAATTAATATGGAGAAAATTCATATTTATTGGATATTTACTTACTTCAGTTAAAATAATATCTTTTGTACCAATATGAAAAGCTGCTTTGGCGAGATTTTCTTCAGAAAGAAGATAATCATGTAATGAACTGGAATATAATTTTATTTTATTATTCAATGTACGCACGAAATTTATCTTTAATTTAAATCTGTATAATACATACATTATGACATTCTCAGGTGCACGAGGTAAAGCTTTGGTTAAATAATTTTGTACAATTTCTGAAGTAAGCTTTTCGCCTTTCATAATAAGATCCGTGTTATCCTGTATATCAAGCTTAGGATCTTCTATTTCCATTTCTCTCTGTCGTTGCTCTTCTCGAATGACATATGATCTATGAGTGAAAGCTTGCTCCAATTTTTCAAAATTGAAATCTTCGGATAATCTCTTATTAAATGCATAAATCTCTGCAGATCTATTCCAATCTAGAAAGGTGTTACGCTTTGGTTTTTGTTCAGGTAACTTCCTCTTGCGACTAGTTATTTGGAATTGCGTTGCAGCCACCCATCTTTTAATACATCTCTGGCCTGTACATAAAATTATATAGATAAATTTTATATGACAAAATATCACAATTCTATTCATTACTCAATAAGATCGTGCAACGATGTAATGTGTTGTAAGAAGTAAGTCTAACCTTCGTAATTTAAAGAGCGCACTCCTTTACTTAGAATAATAGTTTTAACACACGAACGTAAGACGTTCATATTAAAATGATAATTTTGTTATGCAAATTGTTTTTAAAAAATTGTTCAACAACTATCAGTAGATTGTCAGTATCTCCAGATATTTTCAGTCGAATAATTTACAACTCAACACAGCAGCCTATTAATTTAGGTTATAAACACACGAACTTGGCAGCACGATTTCGCCTGACAATGAGCTTTTCTATCAAAAGTACGCGGCAAATTTACTTTTCTTTCATTTTTTATTCGATTTTTCAATCTATATGAATTCCCGCGTGATTAGTAATATTTTTTAACAGAATTTTATATTTACAATAAAATAAATTTAAAAAAAATACACAGCTCCAAACGATAGGAACGAAAATTCAAATTCATTTATCATACCTCGTTATATGACTATCTACGATCGATAACTCACACCATCTTGGAGTAACGATTTCTGAAGATACCCGTTAGGTAGCGCTGACGCGATTTTCTCCACAATCTCGCGCGAGTTTTTTTTTTTTTTTTATTTCTCTTGGACGATCTCTCTGGACTCTGGACCACAAAAGAGCGGTCGGATCGGGATGCTGCATAAACGCGGCAACTGTGTTGGCAGTAATTGACAGCTGCCGAAAAGCGGCGGCGGTCGGGCGTGAGTGCGCGGTCGCGAGGGGCGCGCGATTGGGGTGAAAAATCGGCGCGAATGTATGTACGTGATATCAACGCGAGAGTTTCGAATCGCAGGGAGCGATAACTACGGAGACAATCATCGGCCGTCCTCATCTGATCCTATCGGCGTCTCGACGGTTTGCCCTGCTGTGCACGAGGGAGAAAGAGAGATATCTTTTTAAAGGCCCGGGCGTGTTTACAGTTCCACGTGTATCTCTCTCTCGAGATTTGTTTCTTTGGCCTTCCTTCCAAGTTTGTGTATTACTTGACGTACGTAAGGAAAGAGATCTCACGATCTACGCTGGTAGCGAAAACAATTTTGTGCTTATTGTTAGTTGTAAAAGAATCGATCTTCGAATCGGATTTAAATTTAAAATTGCAAAGTTTAAATTGGATTCTCATCGCATTTTTCATGGTTTACAACCGAATTTTATATAGAGAAAAATGGGGTGAAATGGAAGAAACTTCCGTTAGTAAGGACGTGTCCAGATGCTGGTGTTTGGATTTTTGAAAGTAGACAAGTTAACTTTCCATTGATTAAACATATGAAGTTAAAAATAAGTAATGTAATTATTTATTATTAACTATTTGACTTTAAATCTGATTAAAAGCTTTTAAGAATATTGAAATTTTTGCAATTATACAATTTTGCAAATTGTACAAAAAACAACGTTTTTTATGTTTGCTTTATATTTTTTTGAACTTCTATATATTGTTAATGGATTATATTAATTGTAAAAATAAAGTGTATGTGTGTGTGTTTTTATAGGAAAAGAGAAGATACTACAATAGGAAAAAAGGAAACTTTTTCGTTCTGTTTAAAATCTAATCATCATAAGAGGAGAAAGATTATAATAGACAGTGCAGCTCTCTAAGAAGAACACGTCTGTTGCTTTTGATGATAGTAAAAGCGGTGCAAGTGAGACGAAAATTTGCTGGAGAACGTGAGCCCTCGTTCGTAAGAACTTTGGTTTCTGTTCTGACTCCCAGATATGTGCCCGACGGCGCGAGGACATGCCCCTTTCTGTCAACGCGTTGAACGACTTTTGGTAAGCCACGTTTTATTCGCAATCAAGAACAGGTGGATGGACAAACGACTTTGGTCGTTTTAAGCCCATCAATCATAAATTCTGTTTGCTTATGCCTATTTTAACATTCCTGAAAAATCATTTGACTAATCATTTGACTAAGGTAAATTTATATAAACGTCAAAATGAACGTATTATTCTGTCATCTTTAAAAAATCTGGAAATATGCATCTACTTTAATTTAAATGTCAAAAATGCAATTGATTATCGCTTTCAAAAATATTAAAATGAAGCTAATTAGAATTCTCATTAGGTTTTTGAAGAAGTTGCTAAAGGTACAGAAAAGTACAATTAAAATATAACTTATAAAATATAAAAATATAAACTTATAAAACATATAAACATATAAAGATATAAAAATATAACTTTAGTCAAGTGTTTCGATTGAATATATGAAACAGAACTTCACATTATTAGAGAGAACTTCAAGTCATTCTCTTTGCTCTTGTGTCTTTTAAATTTTACTTCATATTTAGATAATGCTTATGGGGTCTTGAAACGTGAACCGTTAGGACCGTTAAAGCACGGTGCCGTCAATATTTACTTTAAGCTATATTAAATCTTGTTTTAATATTTCTTTTTCTTTTGTAACATGGAAAAATTTAGAAGGATAATTAACTCCCGATCAAAATTAATTGACATCATAGGAATCTATTCTTGTGTATATTTTATTCCGATAGAAGAGATATAGTACTCGTAAGCGCGACGCACACGAGTATCAACGCCACAAGATCTTGCGATCGAATCAAATTTGATGATGCCGATGAGATTGTATCAGGTGTCACATGACGTTTGTAAAGAGAGAAAAAAAGGAGAGTAAAACAGAGCGAAATATGTAAATTTCATTCGAGTAGAGGGACAAGATGAGTGCGGATTCTTGCGAGAGACGCTAGGAAGGATAAAGTGGGAGAAGAGGGGAAAACGAGAGGAGAGGAGGAAAAAAAAGCGCTATGGAGTGATGAACGAAAGAGGTGCGGAGGGAGGATATCGTGATGAAGCGGGCGCGGGGACAGGAGAGACAAAGAGAGAAAGAGAAAGAGAGAGCTCGCGCGATGTATAAGGTATAGGCTTTAGTTTGGGCAGCCCTCTTGGAATGCGGCGGTCGCTTACAGCTTACACCACGCTGCGTATATATACGTACATACACGTATATTCAATGCCGCGTATAGGTACCTACATACGGGTTTCAACACCGCGTCAAGAGTATCACGCACCCCGACTATCATACTTTCGTCCGCACCCACGCGTTCGCGCTCAGCTGTATCGGGCAAATCTTCAAATCTTTGTAATCCTTTAACACTTCGCGAACTAAATAAACGAAGAAAAAACGGTGCAAGTAGGCAAGTTCCGTAAAGTTAGTACCTCATTCTTAAAATTGCCTGGGAAAAAGTCGATATATAATCTCACAAATATAAATATATATAATTATATAAAAAATGTCTATATAAGTTTTCTTTTTTTTTTCTTTGTATAATTCCTGTCCGTATATACAGTAATAATTAGAAGAATAATTAAAAACTAATTAGAAGAGAAAGAATGGTTTTTGCATTGTTTTTCTAGAAAAAAATAAAATTTGAAGAAATAAGGAAAAAAAGCATATATAATCATGTATAAATTTAAATAATTATATATGGGCAATTTTTTTTTCATTTTTTCCAAAATTTATTAAAAAAATAATGCAGAAATTATTCTTTTAATTATTTTTTAATTATTTTAATTATTTTTCTTGTATATACGGACAGATTATATAAGAATAAGAAAAAGAAAATATATTAGAAATATGGACAAATTTTATACATAATTATATATATTTTATTTGATTATATATAGACTTTTTTCTTCTCAGGATATAGAATAGAATTTCGGTGTAATCATGATAGAGTTGCGGCTCTTATGTGACGATTAAATGTAAGAAAATAGAGATTCTTAGAGAGGGATGGAATTTGTTTTCACTGTAAAAAAAAACTATAATCGCAATTTTCTTATTTCAATCAAAATCGATTTGAATATTAATATTTTTTAATAAAACTTTTAAGATGCTATCTAGAAATCTTAAAAAAAGATACCAGATGTCTGAAAAAAATTATACAACCCGTCATGAATGAAAAACTTGACGTTTTATTCGGAATTTAGCTCTTCGAGAAATCTAACGATAATCTTTCACACTTGTGAAGGATAGAATAAAAAAGAAAGAATTCTCGAAATATTTTAATTTAGAATTTTCCAAGTTTCTAGAGCTGAAGTTTTTTTTCAGAATTTAACCTTTTTTAAGTGTTAAATAGTGTGCTCTATCTAATGATTATTTTCAACACTTGGAGCGATTAAACCAAACTTAAAGAAAGTTCTTTTCGCGCGTTAGCAGATTGAAATTTTTTTAAAGTGTATATTATACAATGAGGATCCAAAAAAGGATATATCTGAAATATTTTTTCTTAATAAAATGACATTTTTAATAAAAATTTATTGACATATAGATTATACGTCATTTGAAGATGCTTTATACAAAATTAGCTTACCATTTCTTTGAATTTTTACTTATACCCTTTTTACTGTTTATACACTTTTTAATTCTATTTTTATAGAATATTTTTAGAACACAAATTGTATTTTTGAAATAGAAATTCTATTTTTTACATTGATATATAAATAGTGAAGGAAAATTTATTTAACTAAAATTAGCACGCTCTGCAATACATGATGCGATCGGTCCCCTCAAGGGACCGGTAATCATCAGCGAATTGATCGAGACGAGTCGGACGAGCTGTCAGGTGTCGCCTCGAAGGCATCGCTGTATCGTCATACATTTTAACCACTTCCCTGATTTGCCGAGCGTATATTCACAGGAGATATCAGGAGATTCTTACCTGATTGATATGTAATAATATGGTATAAAAAAAGTTAATGAAAGCAAGTATATTTCCAAGAAAATACGCACATTTTATTTTAATTATTATTACTAAAAGTTAACAAAGACAGATAGAATAATAACCAAATCTAACATTTGACGTTTTTTTTGTAAAAAGCTAGGCGGGGAATTGATTAATAATATTCTGTAATTTTTTTAACGTCAAATATATATTTTTTTAATTTTGCACTTTATTTGTAAAATTCAAGAATCTTGAATTTTAATCCAAATTACAGATTTGTATGTGAATTTTATCTTTAGTAAGTTTTGAAATTATGCTTTATGATTGTATATTGCAAAAGGATTAAGCTGATTGAAAAGTTAAAGAAGGTTAAAATACAATAAAAAAAAAAAGAATTATAATACATACAAATATACAGTACATAAAATGCATATCAACACATACACATACAGAATAACATATTATATATAATATGTAGTCATTTTTTTATCTTTTTATATATTTTTATTTGTGTTATAGCACAATATTTTGTTGTTTATATTCTATTGTATTGTTTCGTAGAGAGCACTATCTATGAAAGTTTATCATCTTATAATGACATATTTCTTTTTTAAACAAATATGGCATATTAGTTTGAGAATTATTTAACATCCAGTTTGTCTTTTAATAATATGGTATAAAAAAAGTTAATGAAAGCAAGTATATTTCCAAGAAAATACGCACATTTTATTTTAATTATTATTACTAAAAGTTAACAAAGACAGATAGAATAATAACCAAATCTAACATTTGACGTTTTTTTTTTGTAAAAAGCTAGGCGGGGAATTGATTAATAATATTCTGTAATTTTTTTAACGTCAAATATATATTTTTTTAATTTTGCACTTTATTTGTAAAATTCAAGAATCTTGAATTTTAATCCAAATTACAGATTTGTATGTGAATTTTATCTTTAGTAAGTTTTGAAATTATGCTTTATGATTGTATATTGCAAAAGGATTAAGCTGATTGAAAAGTTAAAGAAGGTTAAAATACAATAAAAAAAAAAAGAATTATAATACATACAAATATACAGTACATAAAATGCATATCAACACATACACATACAGAATAACATATTATATATAATATGTAGTCATTTTTTTATCTTTTTATATATTTTTATTTGTGTTATAGCACAATATTTTGTTGTTTATATTCTATTGTATTGTTTCGTAGAGAGCACTATCTATGAAAGTTTATCATCTTATAATGACATATTTCTTTTTTAAACAAATATGGCATATTAGTTTGAGAATTATTTAACATCCAGTTTGTCTTTTTGCAAAATCACTTAACGGTTGACCTTGATTTTCTTTTGGCAAATGATAGGCTTATGCCGGACACAACTATACACGCTCGCTCGCTCCCAGATATGTGTGTACATATATATCCGGCAGATCAGTTAGAAAGATGTGTATGTGTGTGTGTGTGTGACCAGTCGAGCTCAGTTAAAAGTACACTTCAGGACACAAAGTCAGTTTTGGCGGGACCATTTACTTTAAATCAGCTACTCAGCTACCTCGTACATTATTAAATAAGTCATTGAAATGAGAATATATATATATATTGAGCCGTGTAATCTATATATTTATGTGCAATCTATTGGTCTTTTAAAAAACGTGAGCGATACATATTAAAATTTTACAAAAATTGTTTCCCGTCTTGTGTACAATGTAAAGTAAACGATGTCCGCAACTTCCACCTTTTTTATTTTTGTCTAAATTTTGAGGACAATACCGTTCTTAAGACAGTTCTTTTCCACTTTCATTAATTATTGATTAGAAAAAGATCTTTTCTTTTCACAATTTACACATGATATTTATCAACAAAAAATTGCTGGAAAAAAGAAGTACCGGCTTTATATGGACACAACTATACACGCTCGCTCGCTCCCAGATATGTGTGTACATATATATCCGGCCGATCAGTTAGAAAGATGTGTATGTGTGTGTGTGTGTGTGTGACCAGTCGAGCTCAGTTAAAAGTACACTTCAGGACACAAAGTCAGTTTTGGCGGGACCATTTACTTTAAATCAGCTACTTCAGAGCCTCGTACATTATTAAATAAGTCATTGAAATGAGAATATATATATATATTGAGCCGTGTAATCTATATATTTATGTGCAATCTATTGGTCTTTTAAAAAACGTGAGCGATACATATTAAAATTTTACAAAAATTGTTTCCCGTCTTGTGTACAATGTAAAGTAAACGATGTCCGCAACTTCCACCTTTTTTATTTTTGTCTAAATTTTGAGGACAATACCGTTCTTAAGACAGTTCTTTTCCACTTTCATTAATTATTGATTAGAAAAAGATCTTTTCTTTTCACAATTTACACATGATATTTATCAACAAAAAATTGCTGGAAAAAAGAAGTACCGGCTTTATATGACTGCCCCGTCATTCCAAGTTGGAGAACTGTCGTACTGATGAGATTCGGCGAATATTACATCGATAAAGATTCCCCGAAAGAGCAGCCGGGCACGTCAAGGGGCACGACGACGGGGTCCCCCTTCTTGAAACGCACGCTTAAGGAAGCACTTTGTGAGAGCCTTGGCAGAGTAATTGCATATGAGAGTTCGTCAAAGCGAGCAACACGAGCACAAACATGATGCGCGGGGCGAGAATTCCGGGCCCCCGTATATTGAAACAACATTTTTCATCGGGGACTCTTGATCCCCAAAACACTCTTTTCGAGTGAGAGATGCATCCACGATGATGCATTTGCGAAACGGCTTTTACACGCCCGTTTATCTGACCCGGTAAATCCGTCTGGGTTATCGCAATCCAGGTCAAATATATTCTTGTTATTTATTTCTTTTGTCCTGTATTCTTACGGGAATATATAATCGGTAGGAGTTTTCCATACGCGCGTAAAAACAGGCTGTAGTATCTTTTGAGAAAATAAAGCAGAAATATAATGTAAGAGGTATTTAGTCAGTCATATGTACGTATAAAAAGAAATAAGCTTCTCTAATTTTATTTATCGAAATACGTATTGCAGAAAATATAAGCAATCTATATAATTTCTAAAATATCTCTGCTCATTTTATAAATTTTTATAAGAGGTTTCACGTACAATAATTTCTGATTTACGAAATTAGCTTTCCAACTTTCTCTTCCTTTTCGCTTTTTGATCTGCTTCTTGCTTCTTTTGCACTTTCCTTTTTTCTCCGTATTAAAATGCATTTGAATAAATAATAAAATTTTGGCAATTGAGTATGGTTTTTATTATCGGTTTTGTTTGATATTCTTTTCGTATTGTATGAATAAAGCCGGAATAGTTGTTTTCCTCAACGTGATAAGCATCTCAGCGGTTAATTACCCACCCACAATTATCCGGCTGCTCGTTAATGACCTTCGCGCTCGAGAAAGTTTCTCATAATTACTTTCTTTTATAGATTATCCCTGGTTAGATAGTTTTCTCGTGTGAATTGTGTGCTGCAGTTTCTGCATTATCTCGTGCGACGTGTTTGTACAACATTTCCTTTCATTCGCCGAGTTTGG